AAGGCCAGTGCACTGCAATGCTGGGTCAGGCATTCATATACAATAGGGGACACACAGTCTTTGAACTGGAACAGGTATATAAAGGTAGCCAAGCGCAAAGAACAGTGCATTGGAGCCATATCAACTTGTTAACAGTTGACAGACTGACATCATGGGCAAAGTGCGTTCTCAATTAGATTTACATTATAAAATGTTATATAGCACCTTAAACATAAATTGTAATTGCCAAATTCAAAATATTCTTTCAGGATTCATGATCAACCAACTAATAAAATTTTTGATTCATTTTCAGGTCATCTTCTACGAGGACAGGAACTTCCAGGGTCGCTCTTATGAGTGTATGGGCGACAGTGGTGACTTCTCCTCCTACATGAGTCGCTGTCACTCTTGCAGAGTGGAGAGTGGATGCTGGATGATGTATGATCACCCCAACTACATGGGAAATGGGTATTTCTTTAAAAGGGGCGAGTACGCTGACTACATGTCTATGTTTGGAATGAGCAACTGCATCAGGTCCTGCCGTATGATCCCAATGGTAAGTTCTATAAGCATTTTAACATGTTCATAATAAATCAACTAAAATCAATGTTGTATATATAAGAATATTTATTATATTCTTTACTGTAAAAACTGATAAACTTAAATGACTTCTCTTCTACAACAGCACAGGGGATCCTACAGAATGAGGATCTACGAGAGGGAGAACTTCATGGGTCAGATGTACGAGATGATGGATGACTGTGACAACATCATGGACCGTTACCGCATGTCTCACTGCCAGTCCTGTCATGTGATGGACGGCCACTGGCTCATGTATGAGCAGCCCACTACAGAGGCAGGATGCACTACTTCAGGCCTGGAGAGTACAGGAGCTTCAGCAATATGGGTGGCATGAGATTCATGAGCATGAGGCGTATCATGGACTCCTGGTACTAGTGTTTTAGCATTATGATGAATTACTTTCTCTATAAAAATTAAACAAAACAATTTCATAAAACTCGCTTCAGTGTCATCAATATTTGTATCCCCACTAAAATGCCTCATGAGATATAATTCATAAATCACAAAATATTATTAAAGACCTTACAAACAAGCATGACTCCAGATCTTCAGATATGAGAATGAGTGTCATGACATTTCAGCCCATTCTCACCCCCAAGGCGTCACTTAACTGACGCCTTGGGAAGCATTTGGACATGCTTCAATATCTGACGCTTTAGGCGCCCTTTAGCGTCAGTTAGATGACGCCCCTAGGATCGCGTGTACCCTACCCCCACCCCAGACCTAAACCTAACCGCGTCCTCTAACTGACGCTTTCCTTTAGCGTCAGTTAGATGACGCCGTAGGATCGCGTCATGTAAGTGACGCTAAAGGGCGCCTAAAACGTCGAATATTGAAGCATGGTCAAAGGTGACGCCTTGGGGTGAGAATGCGTTGTTATTTTGTTTTAAAAGTATCTGATTATTAACAAGCAAAAATAAATAAAACTGCAAACAACTTTGTAAGTAAACCGAAATTACGGTGTACGTTTCTGTAATTATAGTGTACCTCCGGGTCGGTATAAGGGGACCATATGTTCAGTTTTGGGTAATAAAGGGTAACAAGCAGATATACAAGCAACTGATGGCCATTGAAATGGCTGCTAATGAGGCTAATGAATCTAATTAATCTATGTATACATTTCAATGTTTTCTACAAGCGGTTAGCGTGGATATTATGTCACTGATAGGCGACAATGACAAGAGATGAGAAATTATCTAATACTGTAATTTCTCTGGATTTACAAATGGATTTACAATTTACAAATTATCTCTGGATAATGTACGTACACAAGTGCATTAATATACTGTATAGCACACTGTGAAAGTGTTTTTTTCGTACAAAAATCTTACATATTGTACCTTTAATCTTTTAGCCTGTCTTCGTCATACTCATATTCTAATATGAGTCTGAACTCCTCCGTAGGGCTTTGATTATGAGGCGTGTCTTAACCGAACCAGGAAAAAACAAACAAACTCTGCACTCAATTGATAGTCGGTAGACCAATCAGAGCAACGCATTAAGTCAACTCCTTTGCATAGTGCAGTTTTCAACTACAGAACTTACTTATTTTAGAAGTTAAATAACGAGTGTTGCTTCTTTTACTTACTTCTCCATGAGTGTGACCAAAGGAGAAACCACAACGACCACAGGCTTTTCATTACGTTCCATCTTCTGAGCGACCGTCAGAGCCAGCTGATAAGTTACACTTTTCCAGAATCATGTAGGAAGGACGCCAAAAATATCTTTCAGATCGACAAATGCCTTGATTGCAGTTCTCTGTTTGTCTATTAAAATTAATGCGCTGATTTATTTTATAACAGATACGACAGCGGAATCTATTATACATCTCAATTCTCCAGCTCCAGTCATCTTTGAGGGAGACCAGTTAAGCGCTCTTTGATAACGTGATGATTACAGTACGTCCTTGCAGATCATCTGTCCATCATCGTATAAAGCCCGCCCTGGCAATTTGATTGGCCCGAACGTTTCTTGTCTGATCATAATTACTCCACAATGGATCGAGTCCAGACCGAACTTCTCGACCAAAAAATGTTGTGGGCGGAGTTCGGGCTGGCATCCAGGCTATTAATCTTTACTAATTAGATTAGAATTGTCATGTGAGCAACAGCAAGTGTGTAACAGTGATCTGAGTGCTTGATGTTGAATAGGTCAGAAAATGCCAGGTGACTATGTCTATTGGGAAAAAGGAAAGCATGAACTTGTTGTCTCTTCTCCATTTAGTCACATGAGAGTTCAAGCCCACTAAGGTATGAGGTCATACCTCATGAAGAACTACTACTAATTAAAGAGTTCAGATGCAAAAGCCTCTAAATGCCATTTGAAATTTTCTTCTTTAATGATGATTTTTTATCAAACTTGTATATTTAAGTTCAGTAATTTCACTTAAATGGCAATGATAATTACCTATTAATTGTTATTTAAGTGAAATTAATGAAATAAAATATACAAGTTTGATAAAAATCATCGTTAAAGAAGAAAATTTCAAATGGCATTTAGAGGCTTTTGCATCTGAACTCTTCAATTATCTACTAATTAAGGTTAAGAATAATAAAAAGTAACTAATGAACAGTTATACAAAACTACATTGAATTGTGAACTTTCTTATTCACTAATATTGTTAATAGAAGTAGCAATTTACCAATACATATAATGTTAAAGTTAAATATTGCCTGTGTGGTTTTGTGAGCATGTTCTGTAAGAAATCAACTTCACAAAGGAACCCCACACAAGTGCTTTGCTATAACTAACCTCAGATTAGTTTTATATTTTATACAGTTCTGTGTGTGTCTGTTTTCCTAGAATCCCATTGAGTAAATTCATGTATTCGAGGCAACAACTGAGGGAAACTGAAAATATAGGATAATTATTAGTAATTAATAAATAATTATTAGACAATTCTTCAGGAATTATTTATAACCCAAACAGTATTCTAAACTGAAAATATAAGGAACCCATTAATAATTAATAAAGAACCATCAAATAATTATCCAGGAATTAGGCAACTGATAAACTGAAACAGTATTCTAAAGTGAAAATATGAGGAAATTAATTGTTAATTAATAAATAATTATTAGATATTTCTTCAGGAATTACTTAGAACCCAAAACAGTATTCTAAAGCGAAAATATAGAGACCAGATTAGTAATTATTAAAGAATTAGGCCTACATATTGCATGCCGGGCGATGTCTCGATCCTTGATTTTTCTTTCTTCATAAGTGGTTCTGATCCTCTCTTAGTCTGACCCAGGACCTGTGTGCCTTGGGAGACCCTACCAGGAGCATATAGCCCCAGACAACATAGCCCCGGATCATTCGGGTACTCAAACGATAAGGTGACAGTTCAAGGAGGGGCGACATCACTAAATATATTTAATATATTTTAAATCCTATTTCTCTCATGGCTAACTTCAGTAGCCTTATGGTGCTACTTTAGTGCAACTTCACAATCTCAGCGAACAATACTTACTACTGATGCATGAACTTTGTTTATTAACTGCTTCTATGTCACACTAGAGTCTATCTCCTTGGACATTTTATTTTTCTTATTGTGCTTATGTAGTTTGGACAGTTTTTATATTCTTTTTATGTTGTATAAAGGATATTGAACCAATAAAACATGTTAAGCACTTTAAACATTGTTTTGTTATTTTATATTTACAGATCAATCAATTGCAAGATGTAAATGTTCATGTGATCTACACACGGCAGGCTCCATAAGCGCAA